TCCCAACTCCTGAGCCACGATCGCCCTACATTTTCTAACCACTACATTTTCTAGACCTTCCCTTCCTTTTCCCTGCGTCAAATCCCCCTGACACTCATCTCCACTCCCTCCACCTTGCCTACACTCTCTTGTTTGCAGCTTGTTCCTTGCAACCTGTAGTCAAATGTCAGCTTTCTGCAAGCTACCACATAGGTACAGGCTGACCAGTAATTTTGTTTATTCTGTTCAGTATCCTCTTACACTTTATTTCTCTTGATATAAAACTTGAATAAGATAAGGTGTTAATATAAGATTTTGTTCAGTGTGATGCAAACTCATATGGAGTTAGCCTTCTAATGAACTCTCAATTATGCATAGAAAATACATACAAAAAGAACTGTAAGTAATAAATGCCATCCGATACAAATTTGTGTAAGTTTTTCCATGCTTGAAATTACTTAATGCAATTAATAATAATGTGTATGTGTTACCCAGGGAGCAATGTGTAGGGACGGTACCTTGCTCAAGGATACCTCGGGGTAGCCGTTCAGTGGAATCAAACCCCCGACCTTGGAGCAACGACTCTACCTACTGAGCTATCCCTGCCCTTTGTGTTTCAAAATAGGAACACACATAAAAGTGTGCTTTCAAATATCTACAAAACTGTGCAAAATTTGTTTAAAATCTAAAATAGTTAAAAATTACACATTTTTTTGTCCCGTGTTCGGCGTCATTACAATTTTAAAAATAATATATTAGAAAAAATTTTACATTTAAAAAAGAATAAAGTACCTTTCAGATTCAAGAATATCTTTGGTATTATTTTTTCAAAAAATGTGCCATTAAAATGTTTTTTTTTATGTATTGTAACTGTTATACGAAAAAAAAGGCCCTGTGGAAAAAACTGAAACACTTTGGGTGTGTGAGGTGTGATTACACAGCTTTATAGCTAATTCTCAGATGGGGACTAGTCTGGACATGTGATGTGTATTGATGACGATGATCAAGACAGACTTGCTATTCTTTGAACCCATTGTGTGGTAAGTAATTAATACGTCACTCTCAAGGAAACAACATCTAAGCATAATACCTAACTGTTTACATGTCAGCGTGTTAATCAGATATAAACTGGAGAGTTTCCTGTTTTTGTCACCTCAGTGTTGTCTACCACACCCTTGACGTTTTTCCTTTTGTCATTCTTTAGCATCTACACGTAAATCACCCTCCACCTACTGGTCACTTCCTCCTCCCTTCCTTTTGTGCATCTAGATAAGTGACATGCTTTTCCAGCATTATTTATCTGACCACAGTTAAGAGGAACTTAACAAACTACAGGTACTGTAGTTCTCCTGTGACCCTCAGATTGTGCAACAATGTGCCACTTTTGCATTACAATAAAGATTCAAAATACAAATTTGAAGAGAAACAATGTGAAAAGGAGACATAAATCTGATAAGGAAAACATGCATTAGAAAAGCTCCTCACAAGGGAAATTACTGACAGGGGAAATATACACTGAAAACAAGAACACAAGGAGACTCTGAGCTGGGCTGTATCAAGACACGGGGGACTAAACCCCGATTCAACCAGACCCATTTAAAACAGAACTGTTCAAAATCAAGACTACTTTAGGACTTAACCAAGACGGAACCAGAACCAGACCTGCACTACACTTATTTTTTAATTCTACCAAAGTCCACTATTTAGATTCAGAAAAGTTTAGATAACTATTTAGCCTTGTTGTGCAAACAAGCCTGCATAACTTAATAAATATAGAATTTGAAAAATAGCAAACCTAAACAGATACACTAGGTACTAGATACATGTTATTAATGAGTTTTGGCAAACAACTATTTGACTAACACGTCTGTCTCACCTGGCTCTTGTTCCTCTCTCTCCCTCTTTGTGCTGACAATCAAGCCAAACACCAACATCATCAAATATACAGTTGAAACCAGATATTTACTCTTCAGATAAAAACACAAACACTTTTTAATTGTAAAACATCAAATCAGACTAAATGTTTATGTTTTTTAGATTGATAAATATAAAAAACATATTTGTTAAATTTAAGAGTAAAGAGAGAAACTGTCTGTATTTCTTAATTGTAAATGGCACCAAATTGTATTCAAACTGAGCCACACTTATGGAGCTCCACAATTCTGTTCCTGGTGTCTTGGTTGACATCTCTTGATTTTCCCGTATCAAAGGCTGTTTCCCAATTCAGGGTCTGCAGCCTTAAAGTACGCAGCCTCAACGATCCTCAAGGGCCGCGTACTCAAAGACCGCTAAGGCCGGAAGTGCGAGGCTTGTGAAATGG